CAGTTCCAGAACATTGAGTATTTGGGGTCAACATCAGAACCTTAGACTTTTAAATTTGATCTGAGCATCATGATTAATATAAATACTCATAAGTTATATGCTCATATTTTAGGCTGAGCCATTTTTATCTGATTTTGTCATTATAAAGACCTGAATTAAAGAATGCTCATAGAACATTAAATTCTGTCTAAACCAATAATAGGAGCCAAGATTCCATTGATCAGAAAAAGCGTATCAGGTAAGAAGCTCCTCTTAACAGAATGATGCTTCATTAAAGGTTTCTTTCCTGCATGAATGCAACAGCTACATTAATGTTCAAACATTTTCCTTATAGTCTAGTTGGTTAGGCATTCACTAAAAAGCCATTTAATTTTATCTTATTTAGAGTTCAGATAAGCCCGGTTATTTGGTTTCCAAGTCCTTAGCAAATTTGAAATAACAAATGAGAAGGAGAATGATAATAACAAATATTTATTGAGCACCCATTATTTTCCAGACATTGTTTTAAGCATTTTTACTTCACTTAATCCTCACGACAATCTCATAAGGTAGATTCTATTATTCTCTGCCATTTCATGCACGGGGAAACTGAAGAGCAGAAAGGAAACTTTCCCAGGGTTTCACTCTCTTATGCAATATACCTGTTATCACCCAATAACATGGCTTCAGACTCACTCTTCAGGCTACTAGCTCTACTGTGAGAGTGGACTATTAACTGGCAGGCCCATGAACCTGTAACAAATGACAAAAAGTTGCTAATGGGATAGCAAGGGAAGGAAATGGTATGCGAAGGACAGCCAAATAAATTGAAAATGCAACTAGCAATCTAGGGTCATTTAAACCACAAGGAAACTATTGCTTATTACATGTTTTCTGGACTTTTCAGGACACCAGATTTTAACCCATTTACTCAAAAATTTCCCAGTTTTTCCAAATTTTTAATTCAGAAAATACCCAGAATTTACATAACATTAGTACAATCTACTAGAGATTATCACATATCTCAGAGATGTTGAGAGTCAATGTCTGAATGTACTATGACCTAGGAGAAAATATTATAGATGCAAAGTCTCTGAGAGTCATTTGTGGTCCAGGTAGTAGGGACCATCCTAGGGGCCAGGATTTCTACAAATGGCAGGCTGGGATCTGAAGTGTACCATCATATGACCTCTGTTAAGGGGAAGGCTTACAGAGGAGCTATCATAAATCACATTAAGAGGGCAGGGCATGTGCCCCACCCCATTAGGAAAGCTAGAGTTACAAGAGTTACTAGGTGTGCATAGTCTGGAACCAGTTGTCACAGCCAGTCAATGGCTTAGCCAGATCATGTTTCAGATGACAAAAGGTGAAAGCTGAAAAAATAAGACCCCCACCCCCACCAGTGAGACAAGTGGATACAGAACACCTGTATACCACTGCCTGGCTCCTCTAAGATCAACATCCAAAACTGACTTTTTAGGATGAGTCCCCCTTTCTTCCAAAAAATGAAGAACTGGAAAGTTTTTGCAGAGTTTTGTCAATTTCCTACAAGAAGACAAAACATTTCAGATCATGAATGGTCCTGAGATAGAGTGTGTGGGTGCAGGGGTGAGTACAAGGGTGGGTCTAGGTTTTATAATGCCTGATGAATGCTAATACAGTTTGGGAGTACCTATTAAGAAAGCAAATACAAAATTATAATGCAACACCCTTAGGTTCAAAAATGCATATTCATGTATTGAGTAGAATGAGAAAAGAAATAACAACAAATTAAAAATTTCGAGAAGCTGACAAAATTCAAAGACACCCTCTAACCCCCCTAAATAACATTTTATTAATATCATGACATTATCTATAATTTTTTCCTATTTTGGGCTGTATATTCTCTGATGACATTATTTAAATGACAATAATTTTTAATATTTCTGTAGAGGAAAAGAAAAGATACCTTTCCTCAATTATGTTTGATCAAATTTTTTTCATTATTGACACATTTGAAAATTTCCTTTCAGCTCACTCTTCCCAGTATCATTTTTAGGACCATTGTCAAATTTGGAAAATATCAAGTTTATCATAAATCAGTTGTAAGATTTCAGGGTAATTCACATTTTCCTAGCAGGGACTACACTAAGCTACTCTGGATTTGTACTCATTAACATATTACTGAGGTCTGGGAAGCAAGCCAGGCAGGTGGTGGACGCTGAAGATTAAGCATCAATAAATTCGTGGTAAAGCCACTTCTGAGTGCATAGACATGCTGTTCAGATTTGAGGACCCACAGAAAGCTCAGTAAGGTTTATTTCTGTGGTGGCAATGGCAGCTAACTACCTAGAGCAACCCCTCCCACAAGTGACCATTTGAGGACTTTGGATTCACTTCTAGCTTCAACAACTAAGCCCCAACAACTCAGAGGCTTCAGTAGCAGGATAAATCTCTATACCTGCAAGCTAAAGGAAGCATTGCTTGAATTCTTACCAAGTCAGTCGGTACTGAGGGTGGTCAGAAGTATAACAGTACTGCCCCAAAGGAAAACATTTTCTATTTCCTTTCCCAAGGTCTTATTCCACCAAAGGGGTGTAATAATAATGCATTAGATAAGAGGTGTGTATCATAGTAGGTGTTTTCAAAAATAACTTCCTTTATTTAAAGATCCAGAAAATACAGTATTGCAATTGATGGTATTGATAAAACAGGTGTGGACTTTGGAATTAAGGGACTTAGAATGAGATTTCATCATCCAGTTTCAAATTTTATTAATTAGCCCTAACCTGTTTTATCTGTACTTCTAATCTACACCAAATACCCTTAACCTCTGAGTAATTTTTGAAATAAATTTCAGAAATCAACTATGGGGTCCTAAAAATTTTTAACTTCTTGTCATTTCTTATCTCATTCTACATAAATATTCATTTTTGAAGCTAAGGGCGTTTCATTATAATTTCACATTTGTTTTCTTAGTAGGTACTCCCAAACCGTATTAGCATCCATCTGGCATTATAAAACTTGGACCCACCCTTGTACCCATAGCTGTTCATTCATAAATACCAACAATGTAGCTCTAAAAATAAGAACTCTTTAATCACTTTGGGCTGCTATAGCAAAATACTATGAATTGGGTGGCTTATAAGCAACAAAAATTTACACCTCAATTGTGGAGGCCAAAAGTCAGATCCAGATGCCAGCAGTTTCCAGTGAGGACACTCTTTTAAGACTCTGACTTGACTGAGAGCAGAGAGGGAAACAATCTGTCTCCTCATACTAATAAAGGTTGAATCCCACTCGAGGCCTCCACCCTCATCTGACCCTAATTTCCCTATCTCCCTAAGAGCTATCTCCCAAAACCATCACAATAGCACATTGTTTTCATCATTTTTAAAAGGCCCTAAAATAATATTAGTACTTATTAACTGTAAAATTTGGGGTTTTCATAAAATGTTTTGAAAACTATTAAAGCGTAACTCAGAACAAATCAACAACTTCCTGTGAACATAAGCAAAATTGTGCCACTGTTATCTATGCAGAAAAGATAATTGACTTATTCTATAATTTATCTGTGCTCAGCAGAAGGTAAAAACTGAAAGAGATTCTCGACTCTCTTGAGTCAGCATTAACCTGATATTCTAAGCACATCTCCTGGGAAGTTAGAAAAAGAAAATCAAAGGAAAATATTACTTCTCCCTGTTTGAGATGGAAGCAAGAGTTCTGTCTTAACCCATTACCAAGTAAAGTCCCTGCACCACAGGTATTGAAGGTATAGTTTAATTCTGTAATGTTAGACTGACTCTTCTACGTGTATTTCCAATTTTTCATCCAGCTTTCCTCAGTACCATTGCTCTGCATTGCTGCAGTGATCTTACAGATAAAACAATGACATAAATAAAGTAGGAAAAGAGTAAGACAGCCCATCTAGGAAAAGCCTGTTTGTGTGACAGACCTGTCTGCACATTTTCATGAGATTTAAGTTCACTTTAAGACAACAGGAAGAAGTCATCAACATAAATGCAATGAATTATAAAATAAGTCTTAAGTAAGAAAAGAGAGCATATTATGTAAGAAAAAATGTATAGGATTATGGGAAAGGAAAAATATATTGGTACATATTTAAAAAAAAAAAAACAGATTATGGGCATCCTGGAAGTCTAGAAGCAGAACAAAAACATCAGCATTTACCTAAGGCAGTTCAAGAGGCAATATCTCAAATAATATTAGATATACCCTAAAGAAAAGGTATGCTTTTTGTTACTGGAATGTGAAATAATATTTTAGGATGTACTATAATTTCTAATATTGCTGTCATCTTTCTCCATTCATTCTAATGTTTTTTTCTAAGAGATTATACTAACCTTAAACTCATGTACCTTGGTCCCAAACCTCTTCATAGGAATTTGTCCCTCTCTACCAACATCAGTTTGAAAATCCTAGAGGCTTGTTTCTAGCTGCTTGGTAACTTTTCCTTGTTTTGGGACCTAGTTAGGAGACAGGTCTGTATTTGACTCAACAAGATCCCATTTTACTTCTAAGTGTTTTCTCCTGTTCTTTCCTTTATGAATCACAGCAGACACCAGCGACTAAACCTCTACGGTTGCTGGAACACCCTGTATTCCTTTTCACCAAGCACTGTAAGATAAACATTCTAATCTTTCCCAGCTGCTCACTAGATGGACTCTAAAATCTTTTCTTTTGTTTGTATTCAGGATTAAGGTGAATTATTTACTTTCCTAACTCTGGATAACTTAGGAACCAGCATCTTCAAAACTGGACTGGATAACTAAAATTGTCAGCATTCTTAGAATCAAGCAGCACAGTAGAGAAACTTAATAAATTATACTTTCAGAACAAAAAATTTGACAACCTTATGTGCTAATCCTCCATTTTAATGATTAATAAATCTGCTGTCCCAAACACTGCCATGTTGGCCTGGCTTCAAATTGTAGGTTAAGCCTGCTTGTCATCATGGTCATAGCTGATCCCTGTCCTGTTATTAAAGGATATTTCCTTTATCTTTTCTCTCTTTTTTTTTTTAGGGGAAAACATGAATGCAGTCCCCATTACCACAAATAATGCAGTCAAGTTTCCCACATTTGGGGAAATATTAGGGGTCAGCACAGCCCTAATATAATGGGGGATTCTCGCCTTCAGCAAACATCTGCGTGATCAGTGTCTCCCCTGCCAGGTAAGTATGACTTTGTCTTGTCTCTAATTTCACCATCTAATATTTTCTTAAAACTTCATATGCACTTATAGTTCTCAAGTCTACTTATTTTCTAAGATCTTGACATACATTTGAAGAGGTATGAACTTATACCCCTAAATCATATACAGTGTGGTAAACCACCATTACTCCAAAAAAAATTGTACAATTTATAAAGAAAAACAAAACAAAATATTTCTCTTCAAGTAGTGCTATCAGTATTAGCCTGTGTTATAATGGAGGTTTCATTGGCACAGATCATGCAAAAAAGCTTACTTGATGATCTTACATGCCCCTGGTGATCTTTATCTTACTGATAAAAGTGCAGGCTTTTATTGCCCATTCACGGTCAGCTAATTATTCACTCTGACTCTATGTGTTTTGCTCACATGCCTCTGTATGGTCACAGTCCCTTTTCTGACTTTTCTCTTTGATAATTTATTTGTCACTGTTGCTTTGTGTTGTATGTGCTCCCATACAGTACTATATTTTTGGTTTCTAACACTTCTCTATTTGTCCAAGGTCATTTAGAATTCTGAGGTTACCATCCTGTTAATGGCTACCCATTGTGAGATGTTTGGAAGCATCATTGCTAACCTCTCATTAGGTCCACACCAGGCTCGCTGTATTATAACAGGAAACATCAGCGAGGAAATTTAAAGAGGGAATTCTCACCCACAATAAGCAATAGTTCAATGAAAACTAAAACTGCTGGATTTGAATCATAAACTTTAGCTTATAATTATCAAACTTCTGAAAAAATGGGATTAGACAAAACATTAATTAAAAATGTAAATATTAAAATGCTCATTGATAATACATTTTGTAGGTGAAGCTGCAAGGCGGGAATGGACACAGTGCAGGTTTTCTGATCCCATGCAGACCAGGTAAAGAAGGAAGAGTCAGAGTCCTCAGTGGTTTTTGCAGGTCTTTCATTGGGGTTCACCAGGCATATGGTAGGCAGGGGTACTGGGGGGCCGGGAAGCTGGCAGGCCTCCCAGCCCCCAGCAAGTCTCCACTCTATCTGGGCTCTCCGACCTTCTCTCACATTCTCTCTGCTCTTCTCATGGCTCTGCTTCTCTCTCGGCTTCTGCTGGCATCCCCGTGACGCTGCCCTTAAAAGCCCAATCGAATCCCACCTACCTATGCCCACACCCTACTCCAGGTGCCCGCCATCAGGCATGCATTCAGGACCGCAGGGTTCTGTCATCTATCCTAATGGCAGGAGGGTAGAAAAGCCTGATATCTTTTACCTTACCCTACAGAAGCTAAGACACATAGTGTTTCGCTTATAGTAGGTCCCTCAAGGCAATCATGTATTTGTCCCCTCATTGAGCTACTACATGTCAGGAAATGCTATTTGCAACTGATACTAAAATAAATACTATTCGTAGCCTTCTAAAAATTCACAGTGCAGTTGAATAACAAATAAATCACAGGACAATAATAAGTGCTGCTATAGAAGTCTGTGTCACATATTTTATGATCTAAAAGGACTCACAGCAGGGAGGCGGGGGGACAGAGGGTTAGCAAAAGTGAATGTAAGATGTGAGTGTCCAGTAGGGTTGACACTGAAGACAGGAATAGCAAGAAACTATCAGTATGGAAAGTTAAACCAGATCATATAGGCATTTGTATGTCATGCAAATGGACTAGATTTTTTCTGGGAGGTAATGAGGAGACACTTTAGAAGGAGTAGCAAAAACTGTTTGCATTTTAGAAATGAACCTCTAATGACAATGTGAAAATGCAGAAGAAGTGAGGCTGGAGATAGGAAAGTCTTCGGGAGGCTATTTCAAAAGCCCAGAAGTGAACACAAACATCTAAAGGAGAACCCTAAGGCAGTAGTGATAAGGGTTATGAAAAAAGTTACCTGAGTGATGTTAGAAAATAGGTTCAGTGCATTCCATGTGATGAGATATGAAGTAAAACATGGAAATGAGGACAATTCTGAGTTTTCTGGTGTGATCAGTTTGGTGATTTGTGGTGCCATTAGCTGAAATAGATAAAATGAAAAAAAAGCAAATTTGGAGGAAACACTAATAATGAGTTTAGTTGAAGATATGTGGAGTTTGGAATAGAAATGGACATTTATGTTAAGTGTTGTGTTGACTAGGACAAATATTTGAACAGGGTACTCATATGTAGATGCACAGATGATATCTTTTTTTAAAAAAGGTTTATTCATGCATACAAGAGCTGGGGTACAGGCCAGAGATGCGGGGGGTGAGAGGATTCACCAAAGACAGATTGGGGAACAGGCAGACTGACTGAAATACACTGCTGAGGGGAGCAGCGGGCGAGACAGGAGAGTTCTGCTGCGCCATGTGGGTTGAACTCGTGCTGCAGAGGCTGTGGATTGTTTCATAGTGCAATGCTTAACCTCTTGCACCACCAGAGAGGCCCAGATGATATCTTAATTAATGTGAATTGATGAGTTGGTCCACATGTAAAACACTAGTTCTTAGTAACCATTTCCTAATTCAACACATATGCTTGATAGATCTCAGCCCTGTTGGGAACTGTGGCAACAGGGTGATTGTAAAGGGTTGTGCTTCTAGCACTATTCATTTTAAGTTTTAAGAAGCAGTCTAGTGTTAGATTGTTAGATTAACAATCTAAGTGACAGAATCTGTGAGAAAGGCAATGACAACAGCATTACTGTTTAAGCATCAGCATGTGTAAGGCCATCCAGTATGCTTGTTAGAATAAAGGTGCCTAGATTTATCCAGAGATTTTGATTCAGCAGTATTGGATAAGGATCAGGTATCTGCAGGTTTAAAAGCAACTCCAAGTGTTTCTTATACACACTGATGTTTGAGAAGTTCTTCGGGGACGATCAAGGAAAAAGATAAAAGATAGTCAGAATTTGCATATGTGAATTTTGCCTTTAAAAAGGCATATATTTAACTACATTGGAAATAGTTCTCTTTTTTAATTAATTTATATATTTTTAATTGAGATGATCTTTGGATACCCCCATCAGGTATTGCCAGTGTGGTGCACCCACCACCAAATAATCACTCTTAGCTCCCCACCACAGTCCATTGTGCTTCCTTCCCTCTTTGTTTTTACCACTGCTCCACCAATTGGGATTATTTCTTTTGGTTTTTTGAAATTCAAAACCTAGAGTTATTTTTCCTGGGAAAGTTTTTAACAAATTAAGCTGTCTGGTTTGAGTCATAACGGCATATTTCCTTAGGCTTAATATGGAAATAATCTAAAGTTAAAAGCAAAACAAGCAGTGAAAAGCAATTGTTTACAAAATTTGAAAATGACTAATTTAAAATTTTGAACTCACTGGGCTGAAATTCAGAAAAAACCTCCTCCATTACTCAGTATCATTACTAAACTCAAGCATGCCTTTTGAAGTTTCCAGGTCTTCATTTTCCTATTAGTATAAGAAAAAATTCTCCTAAGATTCTATGTAAGATTGACATGTATTCTTTTGACCTTTATGTTGCTTTGAGACAGGGGAAATTTTATTTAATCATTTTGACCCACAAAAAACCCCCAAATTTCATATGGTTCAACATGTCTGGAATGGAGCTGATCCATTAGGTTTGAGTAGTCTTGAGGCTTTCTACCACTCCATCTCAATGTCAGTTTGCTTTATTTTCTCCAACTACAACTAGTCTTTCTCTACAACCACAAACAGACCCACCTTAATATACTCAACCTCTGGGATTTCAAAGGACAATCACCCTTTCACCTCTAAATCAAAAAACTTGGAGGATTCAAATTGATATGTCTTGAATCATACCCTCACCTCAGACAAACACTGGGATCAAGGTACTATTATTGACTGGAAACTCACCACTTTCGGCCCCAGGACCCAAAGGGCTAGAATAGTATGAATGGCAGTGTTTAGTTCCTAAAGGAAATGTGGATCTGAGCAAAAAAAAAAAAAAAAAAAAATTAGATGTCCTATTTGTGTCTGCATTTCCTGAGGTGTTTTGTGATTTAAAATGTACTTTCTTCATTAAAAGGACATTATCATTAAACTAAATTATAAGTAAGAGATTTGGATTCAAAATCTTGGTGACCTTGAAGTTATTTTCCTATTTTGAATCTTTTTTTTTTATTTTAAATATTTATTTATTTTTGCATAGAACAATGGGGATGTAGGCCAGAGGTACAGGAGGGCAGAGGATACACCAGAGACAGAGTGGAGAGCAGAACAGTAAGATTTACTCAAATACACTGCTAAGGAGAGCAGCAGGCAAGACAGGAGAGTTCTGCTGTGCTACATGGGGTAGCTCGCTGGCCAGGGATTGAACTCATGCCATAGTGGTGATAGCACTGAGACTTAATTCCTAGGCCACCAGGCAGGCACCCCTGAATCTATTTCTTATCTAAAAAATGTATTATAAATACATCCAAGTGTCATTATGGGATTATATGAAATCATGTGTATGAAACTTCTTTGAAAACCATAAGACACTATAAAAGTTATGGAAACTTTCATTCAATAAACATCTATTAAGTGCCTGTAGGGTAAGGCAAAAGCATCAGGCTTTTCTGCCCTCCCACCTTTAGGATGACAGAACTTTGAGTCCTGAATGCATGCCTGATGGCGGACACCTGGAATAGAGTGCCTGTAGATGGGATTCACCTGGGCTGACTGAGCTTTTTAAGGGCGGCATCACAGGGACGCCAGGAGAAGCAGAGGAGCATGAACCACGAGAGCAGCAGGACCACCAGAGAATGCCAGAGAGCACAGATAGAGTGAAGACTTGCTGGGGGCTGGGAGGTCTGCCATCCTCCCAGACCCCCAACACCCCTACCTGCCATGTACCCGGTAAATCCCAATAAAAGCCTGCAAAAGGCACTGAGGGCTCCAGGACTCTCTCCTTACCCCATCTGCTTGGGTCATAGAAAACCTGCACTGTGCCCATTCCTGCCCACTACAGTGCCTATTGTAGGTATTGATCTTTTAGGTGAGGATATATAAAGATGAATTCAGTATGATATCTTTGTACTCTATAAC